TGTCCTTCTCTAAATTCCTGACGAGCTCTGCTCATTTTCTCCTACTCAATGACATAGCTTTTGTTTGTCTGTTTTTTCTAGTACCTCCCCAACAAGATACACTCTTCCTGAGAGTGCACTGTCTGCTATTTCCTCTGAGCTCTCTCCCCTAGCCAGTAGGTCAGTCCTGAGACCCAAGTAACTCCCTGAGAACCATGGACTGAGGTATCTCCCATACATACTACAAAAGCAAACACAGCTTCTATATAATTTCTTATTCTTATGAGAATAATTTGTCATCTTTTCCTTTTTTTAAGGGAACAAGGAATTGAACAGTATATCTAAAGAAATAAACACAAGTAACATTGGAAGTGTATAATTGCCTGTCAGATAACTAAGAAAATTAAAGGTAACAGACCTAAAATATTAATGAAAGTCTGTAAATTAAAAGTCTTTTTAAAAAAATCTAAAATCTGACCTGGCACAGGGAAAATAGAAACATAACTTATAAAAGTGAATTTCTAAAATGTAGCCACTGAAACATTTTGAGAAGCATTATTATTTACAGTACTAGAATTTATACTACAAATTCAAATATAAGTAAGCAAAGAAAATGAAACTTGTCAATATTGGCTCCCCACTTTCTGTAGGATATATTTCAGGAATCTCACACCTCATGGTAAAAAAAAAATTACCAGTGACAGGAAAGGCCCACACCACTCCATTTTGAGATAGAGATAGAAAATTTGCCCTTCCTATGCAAATGCCCTTTTGCAAGCACTGTTCTCCATGTGTGTGGTGGGGTCCTTGGGAGTTATCTTGACTATTTATCTGTATGGCACCCATAAGACTCTGGCTGAGTATCCAGCAGGCTGAGGGCACTAGCTGTCTCTTGAAGCCAAGTTCTTTGCAATCCTAAAACATGTTTCCCGCCAATCCCAAGATGGGGTTGAGCAGCCTCTATTCCTCTACTCAGTTTTCAAGGCTCAGAGAAGAGGCATTCTTCTCTGAAGAGGCAGGGCCTTAACATTCTGAGCTGCTGTCTGGTGCCTCTTGAGTTCTGGGATTTGCAAGAAAATGGCCCTGAAGATCCACAGAGACTTGCATGTCCTTATGACTGGATGAGGCAGGTAAGACAGGCCTGCAAACCAACTGCTCCTGCAAATGTGTGTCTGCAATTTACACCTGGGGACATGTTAATATTAACAAGCAAAGCTTTGGTTGATGAGGTCACTTCTGAAACTTTTCCTGCTTAGGGGGCTATTCTTTTGGGAATATGTGATCAGCAGACTTAAGCACTAGAAGAACAAGAATTGCCTGATGGAGGCATGAAGTGCTTCATGAATAAGCTCTGCAAAATATGGACACTGAACAAATTTATTATTGTTTATGAGTACTATGCTCTTTGTATTAATAGAAAATGTTAACAATCTGGATCGAATACAATACTTATTTTAAAAACTACATCATAAACCACAGAAAGCTTTCTCACAGATGTCCTTAACATTTTTTCTCACTGGGGATGGGAGAGGGAGGTGATTTTTAAGGCAGCACAGCACAGTAGTTAACATATACACATTTTGGAGTTGAACTTCAAAAACTAAATGTCCCAAATTCTCTGTACTGTAGGTGTTCATGACCTTGACTAGCAGCTTAACTATTCCAAGGGTGAATTTCCTCACCTGCAGAACAAGGCTGGATGTGTTCATTCTATAACTGTCAATTAATGGTGAAATATAACATGATACATTCCTTTACCATGTTCCCAATTTCAACTCTAAGAAGCATACTCATTTCCAATATTTCTGTGGCATTGCAGAACCTGCTCCACCTCTAATATTTGATGAGGGTATGTTCTTGTTATCTCCACTTCCCCAGGGAAAAGAAAAAAACAACCAAGAGTAGCTTTTCCTTCATTCAAATCATGAGGAACCCAAGAACATTCTGGCTCACACCAGTGGGGCATGACTGGGTAGCTGTGGGGTGCTGCTACACTTCCCTGTATCTCAGTGCCTCCATGTTTATTGAGCTGTCACTGTCCTTGGTCTTCCACAAGGTCAATGCCTGAAGCAGGCATTGCCAGGCATAAAAGGTCCCAGTACTTCAGTCTCCCGATTCCTGCTGCATAGGATCAATGCACATTACTGTCACTGTGAGTCAGGCTGTGGTTATTGTAACAGCACCTGAGACAAGTCAACTTAAGAAGAAGAAAGGCTTGTTTTGGCTCACAGTTGTGGAAGTTTCAGTCCATTGCTTAGTACAGCACATCATGGTAAAAATGCCTGGTAGAGGAAGCCCTTTCACTTTATGGCAGGGAAGGGAAGTGAGACAGAGAAAGGTCTGAAGTACCAATATCCCCTTAAATGGCATGCCTTTATATGCTTGGTAGGCTTTTGGTATGGCCCTACTTCTTTAAAATTTCAACAATCTCCCAAGAGTGCAAAAGGCTGTGGACCAAGAAAAAAAAATAGTCTTTCAGGGACACCTACACAAACCATAGTAGTTCCCTAGAAAAATGGAATTCTCTTTTTTAAATTCTTGTGTAAGATTCTACTAGGAGATCATGTATCTCTTCATTCATGAATCACCATCCACTGCCTAACTTTCACCACGCTCCCTTCTGTGTGGAAGTAAATGACCTTCATGCATTAAAAGGGGATCATACCTCCCAGAGCCCAAGGCAACAGTTCTCTTTGGTAGGGGAAGCTCCAAATGAAGAGATGTAAGGACAACACCTGAATCCTCTCTGCTCCCAGAATTTTCCAGAATCCCAGGCCTCTGTTCCCATGCCAGACACACCAGCAAGGTGACATATTCGACTTTCCAAAGTCACTAAGACTGTAATAATGCTGCAGCTAACTTAGAGGGAAACACAAGGAAGACAAAACCTCCTGTCTACTCAGAACTGATGACAAAGCACACCAAATGCAAGTGATCAAGGGCCCTGGCTTGTGTAGACTTGCCACTCTGAGTTTTCTTTCCTTATGTTTTTAGAAGCAATTATGCATCTCATTTTACACCTCAGAAATTTCTATATTACCTTTTTCTCATGTAACTAAATACACATTAACATTTTATTACCACCTTTTATCCAGGAATCATTGGTGGGTAAAGGCAAAATAGTAATATGCTTTTAAAGAAAATGAATATTTGATACATCTACATAATTAGCTGGGAGTGGTAGCACATCTAAGGAAACTGCAGTGAAACTGTAAAATCAACTTCATACTTGAAAGTGAATGGGAAAAATGCAGACTGCAGCTTCATTTTGTGGAGGTGGCAAAAACGAACTCTTCACACAGCCCTGTGGTTTTTTAAAAAACAAAAGTCTAGGCAAACATGGGCTTTGTGTTGTATATTGGCTTAAAGGCTGTATTAAAGCCATCAATCTGGACTCATCAGAATGCCCACGGCCAGTACTACACTATATTATTCCTGAAGATGTTAGTCCAATAAAATTATCTTTTCAGGGCTGGGGATTTAGCTCAGTGGCACAAGCGCAAGATCCTGAGTTAAATCCCTGGTACCAAAAAAAAAATGATCTTTACAGTCATTACTGCTTTTTTTTATCCTTTATTCAAATGTTGTTCTCCATAGATACTAAGGAAAATGTAGATTAAAGTACAGTCTATGAGAGATAGATCTAGAGCGAAGATAATGGGAGTCCAAGTTGGCTGCCGGCTTCTGCTCGAGGCATGTTACATTTAGATCTAGAACAGTTCCCCTCCTGGTACTTCATGTGTCAGAACTAGGGCTTTGAGAAGATGATTGGATCACGGAGGTGCTACACTTATCAGTGGATTGATCCCTTGATGAGTTCAAAGCTAAACTGCTGCTAGGAGGTGGGGACTGCTTGGAAGAGGGGAGTCACTGGAGGATTGATTTAGAGGGTACATTTCCCTCCTCCAAATTCCTCCTTACTCTCTCTGTTTCCTGGCTGCCAGGAGGTGAGCAGTTTTCCTCAACATGCCCTTTCACCATGTTATTTCTGCCTTGGAGCCAGCCGACCATGAACAGAATTCCACAGAAAAAATGAACCAAATAAAACTTCTCCTCCTTTAAATTTCAAGTGTTAGGTTTTTTTGTTGCAGCAATGAAAAGGTGACTAATACAAAACAAATGCATAAGTTCCTGTGATCTTAAATTACTCTATGCATATATCCATGGCCCTCCCCTTGGTTAAAACAATTCTTCCCAATTAACCAGAGAACAAGTCAAAGTGATACATAAACTACCTTCCATCAGAGGTATACAATAGATATTTTTTGTTTTCCAGTTGATCATTTGTTGGGAGCAATGCTACATAATTTTAGGGGAAAATCATTTGATTAGGCCTAGTTCTTCCGCCTACAGGCCAGCTATGGCATTCTGAAACATAATTCCATTTTTGCCTTGGGTCACAACTGAGACCTCAGTGATCCCTGTGACACTGTGATGCTCCAGGGCAAGACCACACCTGCCAGAGACACCCTGGGAGGAATCAAATCTTCATCTGCATAGTTCCTCATTGTTCTTAGATTTCCACTGCTCCCCAGTCTTTGTTACACCTTGTTTATCCCAATGTGAAGTACTGAACTCTGCATTTCATTTGTTACATTTGTTTCTCCAGGATGTAATGAATAAAAGGTGCTGCAAGCTAGGGGTCTTTGTCTTTGCTGCCCAGAGCAGCACTGATGGGACTCAAAGCTCAGCTTCTTCTCAAAGTCTCATTTTTCTACCTTTCCTGTAATTCCCCTTTGCTGCCGTGGCTCACAGGAGACTAGGACTTAACTGCAGAGGTTCTGGTAACGTCCCCTTTCCCTGTTCCCTACAATCTTTTTTACGTTTTCTATTTTGTGTGCCTATTAATATTCATACAAAGTAACTTTTTGTTGAAAATAGTATTTAGAAAAAATGTGTTTATAATGTCTCCCCTTATTAGAGGAGCTCTTTGCTTGTTCAAGGAACTATTTGCCTAACTCATATCCTTCATTAGGGTTAAGTTGAAATGTCTTTTCCTGACTTACCAAATTATATATTAGCAACATTCTCTGTTGGTCTCCTGAGTGCTGTGACAGATGCTGCACTGGTGCTTCAGGGCATCCATTGGATTGCAAGGAAGTACCACTGTGTAATTTCCTGTGCAATTCCTGTCTTCCTTGTTATCCAGCAGCTCCACATAACAGGGTTCTCATGAATCCCCTAGAACCATCAGTGCCTGGAAAATGGTGAATCAGTGAGTATCAGTGGAATAAAATAAAGAACTATGGAAAATGTTAATAATGAGTAAATAATACAATACCTACAGCTGACATAGAAGGAGGATCTGTTTAATATTTCTTTTGCAGTGCTTGGGAAAGCACTTGACACTCCACTTTTTTAAAGTTCCAAAGTAATTATAAATAGTCATTCAAGACCATACTAGGTAAAAAGGTGTAGTGCACAGCTAGGTATGGCTTTTTGCATAAGAAGGTGCTATCCTGTTTTCATTTCCCCTGTTTTACATCGTTTTAAATAACATTTACCAATATAAAATCGCACACAAAAAAATGAACATTCATTAAAAGAAAAAAATAAAACAATTTATTCAAAGACTTTCTATATAGAAAACTTAAGAAAATCAATAAATGCATGATTATAACTAAAAAGACAGTTCACTGAATTTACTGTATACTAAATCTACTATCTATCCATTGATCTATATTAATTTTATGCCTTTAAATTTGAAACCAAGTGTTAGGAAATTTGATTTCAAAGATTTACTGGAGACCATAATGGTAAGTGAAATAAATCACACACACAAGCTTAAATATCACACACTTTCTGTTACTCAAGAAACCTAAATTATAAATAAAGAACAAAATAAAAGATAAATAAGAAGAACCAGGGAGACAAATCTTTATCAAATGGGAAACAGATCAAAAGATGAAGGGAGGGGAAGGGAGGGGAAGGACAGGGGATGTAAAAAGGAATTAAAATGTGTTATGTACATGTACCTACTCCACACAAGGAATGTAAACTTATAAATTAAAATGATAAAACTATTGAATGTCATAAAGACATAAATACAGTATTTATATACCTGAAAGTCCTAAAAGGAACCTTTATATATATAAAATTAATATATAAAATCTAAGCAATTACAATCAAATGATGTAATTACTTCTCAAGGAATGAGGTAGCTTTATGCTAAAATATACATGGATAACTTTAAAGTTGGTTTGTCAAAGCAATTTTGAAGAGAAAGAAGAAAGAACTTGGCTTAACTAATGTCAGACTTTACTAAAATGCTACACTTGCCAGGCATGACGGCATATGCCTATAATCAGAGCATTCTGAGAGGCTGAGGCAAGAGGATCACAAGTTTTAGTCCAGTCTGGTCAACATCATGATTTAGTGAGACCCTATCTCAAAATTAAAAATTTTTGAAAAGGCTGAGAATGTAGCTCAATGATAAGGCCTTAGGTACAATTCTCAGCACTGCAAGGAAAAAGCTATAGATATAAGCACTCCAAATAGTTGAAATGATAGAAAAAAATGAATCAAAGTAACAGAATAAATGCTATAGGGCCAGGGATTTAGCTCAGTGGTTTCACCGCCTGCTGCGCAAGTGCAAGGACCCGAGTTCAATCCCCGGTACCAAAAAAAAAAAAACAAATAATAAGAATAAATGCTATAAAATAAGCTCATTTATATATGAAAATTTAGGATACAAATAACACAAATTTGTGAATAGAAGACTGACTATTCAATAAATATACATTAACTGGTTATCCATATGCAAAAATTTTTAAAAATCACTACTTTTCTACAAAGAAAATATTGATGGATCAAAAACTATATTATCAGAAAAATACAAATTACAACAATAATCAGTTATATTATCTTCATTAAATGGTTCAAGTCAATAAATTAGGTTCATTTTAGAATGTTAGGGAAACAGGATTAAAGCCGTAATTATATATATGAGGGTAGACTAAAGATTTATTCAGTATTATATAACTAAGATATAAGTTACAACCCCAAAATTTGATCTTTAGGTTTGTGCCCTAGAAAATCTTTCAGACACCTCCATAAGGTGACATATTCATTACACTGAAACATTATTCATTCACAAACAGCACACACACAGATATTTCCTTTTTGTGAATTTAGCAATTCTTTGAGATCTCAACTTAAAATGACCTATAAAGCATTGCGGAAAAATGGAAAACAACTTTACTGGGATTTCTCAAGTCGTTTCTATAGGGAAACCAAAACGTCAAGTGACTGATTATTACTTTATTAACACCTTACCTAGTGCTTATCATAACAAATGTCATAACTCCTAAGGAGGGCTTAAATCGTTGTATTTGTTGTCATGCATCGGTCAAGTTTAATCACAACTCATGGAGAGACTAAACTTGCAAAAGTTCCATGAGCAGTATAATTTTATGAGCACATAAAAATGATGGTTTTTAAATGGTTAATATATGTCATCTTTGGGCTTTCTGATGTTTTCAAGTGTTTTAAGTCTTATTTCACAAAATTTCCAGATCTGTATTTGCAGAGAAACATACCTTTTGGTGCTAACAAATAGATCAGCATACACTCATAACTACCGATGTAGGTACAGTAAGAATAAAAGGCCTATTGTCAGGCCTTTTGTCAAGGAAAGAACACTGGGCAAGGACTTAGGAAGCTTATTTTCTACTCACCAGCTACTTTGATTCCTGGCCTTAGGTAAGTGATTTCTTCTCTCTCCACTTTATCTTTCTCATTCATGATTCTGGCCCTCCACACCTCAGAGTGAGGTGACAGCTGAAGGAGACCAAATGTGGTAACAGGCCTAAGAGGGTGAATCCCAACTGCTGTTAACACAGGCCTACAGCTCAAACAGCTGCATGTTTTCTCACGATTCTGGAGGACAGAAGGCCCAAATCAGTGTTTCAGTAGGGGAGGAATGTGAAGGTGGTGTGGACTCTTCCCCAGGTCTTTATTTGACGCTTGCAGATCTCAGTTTTCTCCGTGTCCTCACAAGGCTTTCCTTCTGTGTGTGCCTGTGTCCAAATGTCCTCTTTTTATGAGGCCTCCAGTCACACTGGATAAAGGTCCACCCATATGACATCATTTTAATATGGTTATCTCTGTGAAGGCCTGATCTCAAAAACAGTCACATTTGAGTTATTAGTGCCTAGGACTTTAACATATGAATTAGAGTTGTGGTGTGCAACACGGAGGACACAAGACCACATCATAGTGCCTATTAGAAATCATTAGTGTTGATTAAAATGTCAACACCACCACACACACCTGCAGGAAAAGAGATCCCTTCATGTATGTACAGGTTCCTGGAAGTCACATGATACATGGAGAAGAATAATAAAGAAAGAAAATTTGAAGCAAGAGCTCGGTACTCCTGCTCAAGAACTTGCTGTGAGTCTCCCTTGCTCCTACATTATCAGAAAGAGCCATTTCTCTCTACTGGATTCTCCTGTCAGCATACAAATACTTTCTACTATGGGGGCTTTCAAACTTTTGAAAGTGTAATCCACATTAGAAATACATTTCCTTTTATAACCCTATGTGAACATGAATATGTAGATAAAAAAACTAAATTTTTCATAATAATATATTTAGAAAATGCTTACTTTTACCACATGACATGTACTTTAGCATACACACATAGAAAAACAAAGTACTTTTTGCAGGACTAAGGATTAATGCGAGGGCTTTCACATTGAGCTATATGCCCAGGCCTTTGTTTTATTTTCGTATTTTGAGACAAGGTCTTACTAAGTCACTCAGGCTGGACTCAAACTTGCAATCCTCCTGCATTAAGTAATTAATATTTTAAACAATTATTTTAACCCAATAAAATGATTTTTAAAACTGCAGTTTAATAAATGCTGATCTAAGGAATGACTTTCTTAAGGAAAAAATAAATGCCCTCTATTCTATATACCCACCACTGACTGCCTCATTTCTGCAGCCCTCCTCCATTAAAATTTCTCAGATGAGAGGTCAACTCACACTCAATTCATTCACTTTCCATCGATTTAGATCACTCCAGCCTGGCTCCTGCCCCAGTCACCTCCCACAATATTTGCTTTTGGAAAGGTCACCAGCACCCCCATTTTTCCTAATCCAACAGATGCAGTCCAAGCACCTGTGTCAGTCTCTAAAGAGCCTTCAGTGTAACTGACCACCGTGTCATGCAGCTTCTGAAACAGAACGGTCACATTTCTTATTTCCCAATTGACCTCGCCATTCACTGCTTAATCTCTTTGGTTTCTTTTTCCTGTGTTTCCCTCCTCTACTTCACCATGCCTGAGGAATCCCTGGTACTTATCCTCCTCCTAATGTACACCCTATCCCAGACATTGTCAAAAATCAGATTAAATATTTCTAATTTATAAAATCCCCAATGTTTATCTCCTACTAAGAATTCCCTATGGTCAAGGCTTCTATATTCTGTTACCTACTCGATATCTCTACTTTATATTTTATATGAATCCCAAACATAATATTTTCACATCCACAACTTATAAACCTACCCTTCTTCCAGTGTTCCTAAATAAATATATGACCAGCAAACCAGAAAATCTTCCTTCTCCTTCCCTGTCTCCTATACACATGCAATTCACCAGCATGACCTGTCGCTTCTCTTTTCAAATAATATTTAAAATTTCTTCCTTGGACCATTATGATTCCTTTCTAGCTAACTAAATCACTTTTTCATTTATCCCCATACATATGGAATCTTCCTTAAATCCCCTTAGTATTTTTCACAAAGCAACCAGAATGATCTTTTGAAAATGTGAATTAGATAATATCATTCCTCTCCAATTCCCAAGCACACATTCATAATGCCCAGCACTTAATCAGCACTTAACAATTTTTTTAAAAGAATGAACAAATCATTCATTTGCCTTGCAGCCTTGGAAGAGACAAAGGAAGCTGAAACAAAGTGCACCTGGCCTTGGAACTGTTTTCTTGCATATGTGGCAAGTAGAAAGGGAGTGAGGGAGGAGAAAGAAGGCATTGGTATAGAAGAGCCATTTCTGGAGTGTTCTGATGTAGCTTAGTGAAGTCAAAATTGTATGTCCTTCCAAGTTACTTTGCGTATAAAAGATGGAAATGTCAGTTCATGTGCAAAGACAAAATCCCTCAACTATTTATTTAAAATGTTAGGAATAAGATTTTCATGTATATCCACTTCTCTGATTCTGAGCCCAA